GTGCTCATTCCACCGCCGTGTGGATTGAGGTCTGCTGTTCTGCTGAAAAGTGAAAACAATCGCCGCATTGTTTCTCACTACCTGTAAAGCTGTTTAATTATGTTGTTATTTTCATATTTTGCCAAATTAATGTAAATGTTTGATGTTAAACTTTGATTCTGTAAAATAAATGACCACATTAATTTTGATGGGTCAAAGATGAATAACGTCTCACGTTACATTTCATTAAATTCAATGCACGTTTTATTCAGTCCAGAAAAATGAAGAATCCGTTTTAATTGATGAATATATCTCAGCATCTGTTCATCTACAGATGGATGAATGGATGAACGGACAGATGGATGTATGAACAGATGGATGGATGGATGGATGATGGAGGGATGGACTAATGGATGGATATGGGTGGATGGATGGACAGATGGATATGGACGGATGGACAGACGGACGGATGGGTGTACTGATTGATGGATGGATGGATGGATGGATGGATGGATGGATGGATGGATGGATGCATGGACAGATGGATGATGGATGGATGATGGATGGATGGACAGATGGATGGATGGATGGATATGGATGGATGGATGAATAAAATTATGGGGTGTAGATGTTTATAAAATAGCACCTGCTTGGACTGCCCTGTAGTTTTTGTTTCAGGAGGTAAAAACTGAACTACAGATATGACTGTCTGTTATTTTGTCAGGACGGGAGTTAAGACACTACAGAACCATGTTTCTGTAAAAAAGATTTTCTCTTTGAGTTCAGTAGACATGCAGGTCAGTCTTCTATTTATCCTAACAATGTTTTCATATAACCTCTTTTGAAACAAGTTACATTCTATTGTAGATCTAAACCCTCTTTAGGAGACAAAAGTTGACCAGAATCTGAATTATTCAATGCAATTTTTCATATCTTTACATTTTAGGACACAAGCTAAGAATTTTAGGCTGTAATATTTTATTGCAACTTCAGTTCATTCCAACGATGATCATCTAACAAACAAATCATCTTTCTTTCCTTTAACATAGTTCTAAAATGTTCTCTGCCTGCTGTGATAGGCAGAGGTGTCCCTGAGTCCATCCTGTCAACATCAACCCGTTCTGTGAGAGGAACAGTGAGGGAAACAAACTTAGTAAGAGGTATAAACCAGTACCATGAGGGGAATAAACCCGCAGGTTGATGGGGACTGGAGATATTCCTTTGTTGGCCCCTGTGACCCGATCTGTCTCTGACTCGATCTCCTGACGAACCTCATCAAAGTCGGTGAACTTTTTGCCCTTGCAGTGAAGAAACTCAGCCCACTCTGACAGGAAGAACATCAAGTAACAACGGTTAGTAAAATAATGGCCGCAGAGGAGAGAGTTAAAACAGACCTGATTAAAAAGACAAGGAAAAATTTATATTTGTGTGTGTCGGTGTGTGTGTGTGTGTGTGTGTGTGGGGGGGGGGGGGGGGGGGTTACACCCACCAGCATTTGAACTGATCAGCTGCAGAACCAGGGGCCTGCGGGTGACAATCCCAGATCCACGAGGCAGGAAGTCTCTGTGAAAATCCAACATGGTGGAGTCAGACTGCAGCAAATATGAACATTATCAAAACCAGGAAAAACGGGGAGCTGACACATCCCTCTGTCACATTCAAAAATGATGAATAACGTTTCTGGAGGATGAAACCCACAGCGTGTGAGCAGGAACAGAGAGGCCCACGTTGAAGATTAAACCCTTATTGACAGATACCGACCATCAGAGAAAAATGGAAGGAGCTTGATAAAAGAGCGTCCTCTACTTGTTCATTCAGTGCTGAAGTCCAGTGATGGACAGGTGGAGCATGACTCAGTTAGTGCAGTGCACCCGATCCAATTTGTGGGTCAGAACCTGACAAGCATCAAGTCAAAACATTGTGGATTTGAACTCTTTGTAGTGACAGAAGTCCTAGACAGCTGAAAATGAATGAGGTTTAATGACTTTCTGATCTTTTTTGCATGTTTTTTATATTTTCTACATTGTGGCCTAAAAAGTTTTCCCCCCAGCTGCCCAGCAGCTACGAAACCTCTAACGTGTCAGAACAAGTTCTTACATAAGTCATCGGTTTAGTCCTGAGGGTCTGGGACTCAGAAGCCACACATGACTAATGAGGACACCAACCAACATGATCCTGACTAATGTCTGGATCTACTTTGACAACAGAAATCAGTACATTTTGTAGATTACCTATCCATCTTTTACCAGATGTTTCTGCAGGATTCATTCATTCATTCAACATTTATTTAAACTGATAAATCACAGTGAGCCTCAAAGACTCATTTACAAGTGAAACCTGTTTGGACAGGAAGTAAAAAGTGGTGAAAATGACAACATAGGGTTTGGAGACAAAAAATTCCTAACATGCTCTTAATCTTTGGCTGAAGGTTAACAACATGAAAATGAAAAAAAAATCTTGCACACAAGCACATAATGACCAGGAGCTCTGAGACACACAGAGAAAGCAAATGCAGGAGGAAGAGGAGAACAGGGGAGGGAGAGGAGAGCAGAGCCTTGAGCGAGAGCAGAAATTGGATAACAACAAAGTTTGAGCTGCATGTGTGAAGTGTGTTGTTCTCAAGATCCACTAGAAAAATCACATTTCCCCACAGATTTAAGGCTAAATGTAAATTTAGAAATCAGATTTTAATCAGGGATGATATATTTTCAAATGTTGTAGTTTACAGTTTTGTCTTAATTAAACCTCCAACAAACTGATCCAGTTTGATGAATTTCCTTCGTTTGAGGCTGCAAGTGAATTCTAAGTACCATTTCAACTCTTTTTGTCAAAAATATTGGATAAATATACATGTTTTAAAAAAAGACCCTGTTTCTTTGTTTAGAATGGTATGCTTTGCTTTTTGTTTCTTTTTCAACTTGAAGAATATAAAAAGCACACATTGCTACTTAAACTGTGTTTTTATTTCGAGTATCTTCTTCTTTCAGCTGTTCCCTCTTCCACAGCGAGTCATGCTCCTCCACCTCACTCTGTCCTCACTCCAACTACCTCCATGTCCTCTGACAGCGTCCATAAACACTGAACAAAAATATAAATGCAACAATTAGATTTTTGTTCCCATTTTTCATGAGCTGAACTCAAAGATCTGACTTTTTCCATGTACACAACAGGCCTTCTTCTCTCAAATAGTGTTCACAAATTGGTGCTAATCTGTTTTAGTGAGCACTTCTTCTTTGCCAAGATGATCCATCCATGCCACTCACCACCTCATTGCTCCAGAACCTTAAAGCACCATGAATGACAGCATCCAACATCTGCAAATAATGTCACCATAATCAATAACCAGTAGGAAAGCAGCAGCTACAAGGTGTTTCCTGGAGTTCAGAGTTAAACAAGATAGATTTCTACAAAAAGAAACCCAGTTTTAATTTCAGTTTCTTTTGAAGTTTTCAATATGTGGCTTAAAAGAGAGATGTGCATCAATTAAAATGTCCAAGTATTTGTAAAAATCACAAACTCAATAAGAACACCATGCATGGATGAGATAGGAGGAAGAACTGTTGGCACCAACGTCCTGTTTGAAAACAACATCCCTTTGGTTTTATCAGCATCTAGCACCAGTTTGAGACAGAACAAGCCTGACTGGATGATGTCAAATGCAGACTGGAAAAGCTGGAAAAACATAGCAACTGTTTTAGCTCAACAGTAATCAACTGTATCATCAGCATAGAGATGCAAGGAGGCATCATGAATGTTTTGACCTACATTACCTATATAAATTGTACCAGTCTAACAAATCCTGCTGTTCTCATACAATACCACAGCTCCTGTGCCATCCAGCTCCTCTCTGCCATTTCTCCAAGACATTTCCAAACCTCCACTGGTATGTCATCAGATCCTACTGCCTTCTCCTTCTTCATTCTTTTCACAGCTTTCTGAACTTCACCCTCACTAATCTTTCCCACATCTTGGTCCACAGTTTCTATGACTTCTATTCTTCTTTCTCTTTAATTTTCTTCATTCATTAGCTCCTCAAAGTACTCATTCCGTTATCCCATCACACCCTCCTCACTTGTTTGAACATTACCATTCCTATCTTTAATGTTGTGTTCAAGACCACCTAACCCGAGACCAAGTCAAGAACAAGACCAGAGTGTACTGAGACTGAGACAAGACCAAGATTTTAGAGTCCAAGACCAAGTCGAGACCAGACCAAGACTGAGGGAGGGCGAGACCAATTCGAGACCAAGACCTCAAATAAAATAAATACATTTGTAAAATATAAAATGTTATTATAACATTTTTTTTTAAATAAAAGTTACATACAACAACTTTGTTCAGTTTTGAATGAATATATCAGCTTTTATAAAATTTCAAAGCTACAGAACAAAGAAATCAGACATTCAGTGGCCTAACTTCATGTGATTCAACAATAAAATTACACAACTGTTAAACAGTTCTAGAATTGCACCGCTCAAGGTGGCTGCATGTTGGAGCAGCTCTGTTATTTTCATTCTGAGATTTTGCTTTTGGAAACTTTAATTCCTCTTTTTCTGGATGTAAATCACATTTTTTGGATGATTGTTTCCTCTTGTATCAGATGCTGTGCAGCTGGAAGGATTTTTACTGAAACTTTTTTAGTTTTGGACATTTGTTATGATGCGTAACCATGGCAACAAGGCAGTTTTCTACAACCAACAGCAGCTGATTAACATCTCAAAAGCTCAAATAATATCTCAACTACAGCCCCAAATCTCAAATGAGTTGAAAAGGATGTTCTGTGGATCCATTCTCATCTACCTGCCAGCTGTGCTCGAGTGCCTGACCACTGAGATCCTGGAACTAACAGGAAACACGGCTCATGACAGCAGAAGGACAGGATCGTCCCTCGGCACCTACAGTTGGCTGTCCGCAGTGACGAGGAGTTTGGCACTCTGCTGGGAGGAGTGGCCATCGCTCTGGGAGGAGTTCTGCCCGGCATTCAGGTGATCCTACGGCCCGCGGGAACCGAGAGGCCAGCTGAGTCTGGGTGGACGGATCGAACGGCATCTGCAGCCAGTTTCTTAGGATCCACTGTGGGATGGACCTTTACAAGAGATCCTTCCTGTCTATAGCCATCAGTATCTATAACATCTCTTAATGAAATGAGGATAACGAATTACAACAACAAATAATTTCCCTTTGGGATTAATAAAGTATTTTTGAATTGAATTGAATTTAATTGAAATTGGAAGCAGTTTCATCACATGCCAAGTTTTAAAAAACTGAAATGGTAAAACAATCCTCATAAGTTCAAACTCAAGACCATATAATTGCATTAGTTACTAGTATATTCTTTGTGATTTAAATAGGCAAATTTTATAATTGATGGTATGGCAGACATCTTCTCCCTCGCCCAGACAATCACTTCTCACTTTCTTGGAGTGCCAGTGTTGCCAGATAGAGTCGAGGTTTTCCATCACAAAAATCTTTTAAAAACAGCCATATCAGACAAAAATCTGCCTAATCAATATTTTGTTACAGTATATTTATTGTTAGAACATGAACGCACATCAGTAAAAGTACAAGCCAAGGTAGTTTAACAATATGTGGCAAAATGCAACAATCCAACAAAAATCTTCCCAGAGTTCCCAGCAAAATCAGAATGAAAACCACCCAATTGGCAGTAAACCACCTAATCTGGCCATTCTGGGAGTGACGCGTGTGAGTGAAAGGGGATGGGCGTGACAGCGGTAACAAAACATGTCTTTAGTAATGAGTCACGTTATCACTTGGATTTGAACCAGTACATTTTACATCCAATAAAAACAAAGACAAACTGGGACAATATTCTGGCAATTTAGTGATATTTCCACAGTTGTGGTCTTGACTGGTCTTGAAATAAAATCCCGAGTCCTCAATGTCCGAGACCGAAACAAGACCAAGACCAAATGCAGTTGAGTCCGAAACAAGACCAAGACCATCAAAAAGTGGTCTTGAGACCGGTCTGAAGACCAAGATCGGTCTCAAGTACTACAACACTACCTATCTTTAACAAGCCTAACCTGCTACACATCCTTTCCAGCCTGATCCCTCTGTCTCGCCAATCAGTACAAGTCCTTTTTCATTCATTCATTCAACCTTTATTTATACAGGTTAGTCTCATTGAGCCTCGAGGACTCATTTACAAAAGAGACTTGTTTTAAACAAAGAATTATGACAACAATAGATGACAATTCTCACCCTCTTTAGTGTCCAGCCTCCCATACAACTCATCATACACCTTCTGCTTTGCCTTTGCTACCTCCCTTTTTGCTCTATGCCCCATCTCCTTGTAGCTGTCTCCTCTCTTCAGACCTCTCACTGTCATATTTCTTCTTGACTAACCTCTTTCTATGAATAGCTTCCTGCACTTCACTATTCCACAACCAGGTTATCATCCATTCTCTGTCCAGATGACACACCAAGTACCTTCCTACCTGTTTCTCTAGTTACTGTTGCTGTAGTAGCCCAGTCATTTGGTAGCTCTTTCTTACAGCTCCTCTCTGAATTTCTCATATTTTTCTTAATTTCTCAGCTTCCACCATTTGGTCTTCTTTTCTGATTTTACTCTTTTTCTCTTCTTCACAACAACAGTCATTCTACACACAACCATCCAAAGCTGTCTGGCCACCCTCTCCCCTGCCACAACTTTACAGTCTCCAGTCTCCCTCAGATTTCCTCTTGTACACAAATAGTATACCAAGTTATAATTATCTAATAACCCAGATTTTTAACTTGACATTTTAGTTGCTGTCAGGGGCAGGCTGGCCATAGGGAGGTTCGGGAGGATTCCCGACCGGCCGGTCAGTTCCAGGCCGAACCAACCAGTGGTGACCAGTATGTTGTTTTTTTTTTACGCTGCTGTGTCCTCACACAGCAGTTCTCGTGACCGTAGGTGTCAGTCAAACGTCACTTGCAAGCAGCCCCTCCCAATGTAAGAAAGAAAGGAGAGCGGGTAGCACACATGCTAAAAAGAAAGGAGAAAGAGATGGGTGCAGAAAAACTAAGGAAAAAGAAAAGGAAAATGTGCAAGATGCAGAGAATGTGCTAAAATAGCAGACTTTTTTGGAGGGGGGGGGGGGGGTGTCAGCATGACTGAAGTCAGCCGGACAGTGATAACAGGACCGAGCAGCATGGAGACAGCAGGTTAACCAGCAGTGCCTGCATGGACCTGTCATCCATCCCAGAGTTGGCACATAGTGTGTTTGTGTTTCTGGATGTGTTCAGGACTCACAGAACATTAAGTCTGTCAGTACTGTTACACTACAAGTCCATAAATCTTTAATCTGCTTTATCAACTAAAATTAAAATCAATCCACTCTGACTGACCAGAAAAAGACACATTTCTTTATTGCAAAAGAAAAATATTTCAGGAAAGAGTCTGTTTTCCTGTTTCTATATTAATATAGAGCTATTTTTAGCAGCTCAAGAAAAGTGCATTGCAGTGAGTAATTCATTTACTGTGTGTGTCTCTGTGTGTGTGTGTGTGTGTGTGTCTCTCTCTCTCTCTCTGTGTTTGTGTGTGTGTGTGTCTCTGTGTGTGCCTCTCTCTCTGTGTTGGTGTGTGTGTGTGGGTGTGTGTGTGTGTGTGTGTGTGTGTGTGTGTGTGTCTCTGTGTGTGTCTCTCTCTCTGTGTTTCTGTGTGTCTGTGTGTGTGGGTATGCATGTGTGTCTGTGAGTGTTGTGCTTTTCTTATGTTGTACTTGTGCTATAAAACTGAATTATATGCTAAAGTGCTCTAAAATATATCGTTGCTGTTCTGGTTATTACTAGATGAAAAGGACGGTGTCAGTCAAGGAGGTGATGCAGAGGGACAGGATGATGCCAGTCAGAGGAGTGAGGAGGAGGAGGAAGGAACAGATGATGGAGAGAAGAAGGAGGTGTAGATGGAAGAGGAGGAGAACAATGAGGAAGAGGAGGAGAGGAAGTAGGAACCACCATAAAAACAGTGCCAGGTACAGGTACAGGTACAGGTACAGGTACAGGTGCAGGTGCAGGTGCAGGTGCAGGTGCAGGTGCAGGTGCAGGTGCAGGTGTTAGGACTTTGCATATTAACCTCTTGAGATCTGAGGACTGTAGTCCAAACCTAGGCGTTTTAATTTCCCTTCAAACATATGTTTATCTTTCTCCTGACCGATCTGTAAATGTTTTATTCAGACTTTGTCTTCTGCACTGACATCCCTGATGAAACTGACTGATTTGAATCATTTTGTTTATGTCCACAAATGTGTACAAGGTATAAAATACACAAAATCTGTCTTTAATCACAACCCTGAGTGTCCAGAAGTCTCACTCTGGATAAAACCATTTTGCCAGGTCTGTCAGGAGAAAGAGAAGTATATGTATGAGTAAATATAAATGAGTGTTTCCATGTTCTCATGAGTCAAACAGCCTATAGGTTTCCACTAAATTTCTCTGGTCTTTAGAGTCTACTCCAGTCACAGAAACAATAAGTGTTTCCACCTCTTCAGTCTGTTAGTGACTCTCTGAATTAGACATCCTCTGACTTCCTTTTGTTTGGAGGAGAGGTTAAGATGTTTTAGGTCTGTAAACCTTTGGAGGTTGTTTTTTTGTTCCTTAATATTTGCTTTAATTTTTATGATTAGCTGCTTGTTTGATAAACTTTTATAAACTGATTTGTATTTTTTTCAAGTGTATCAGTGAATACATACAAACATAAAGAGCACTTTCGATTGTAGAAAAAACATGGTGTTTTTATGCTGCAAATAAAGTATTTACGTTAAAATGATGGTTCCACGTGCAGCCGTCGTGCAATCGGATAAAAGGCGTCTCCAAACCGAGCTCCTGGGCTGAATTTGAACCCCAGCTCGGCCCTGGTTGCTGAATTTCAACAAGTTTGTCTTTTTAATTTTGGGGTAGAAAACTTATTTAGCTTTGCTGGGTCAAACTGCTGAGTTAAAAAGAGTTGGCTTAGTCCAAGTTTGACCCACACTGGCTTTCAAATGGACTTGTTTTGACCTCAGCAGCTTTAATGTTAATTTAAATATGTTTCAAAATCACAAAGGACAGAAGAACGAGAGATAAATAAAACAAACCTGGATCCAGGAACAGAGCTTCAGCTTTAATTACAGCTGGCCTGTTTGGTCTAGGAGGGCACTTTGAAATAATTTAACTCCTTTTACTGAAAAACATTTAGACTTTCTCAGGTTTAACATCATATATTTACTGAGAAGATGGAAGGCTCTACTGAACTCATTAGTTTAAAACCTAAATGTGGCCCAGTTCAGCTGAATTCAGCCTCATGCTCCTTCACTGGTGCTGATCTCTTGTTCCTTGAGCTCCACAGGTGCTGCTGTGACCCAGAACATTCAGAACTGCTGGAGGACAGAGCTGTGACCACCAGGTTCTCCTGAGGAAGATGTGTTGAACTCTGAGATCTGACCGACTCGGGCCTCTTATGTCATCCTCAAGGTTAAAGGGAGAAGGGATTATCCGACCTCAGGTGGTCAGTTGTTTGTTTGTTTGTTTGTTTGTTTGCTTGTTTTTACCTGCCAACAAAGTTCTCCAGCACGGAGCTCTTCCCCGCGCTCTGACCTCCGACCACAGCGATCTGTGGCAGGTCCAGGTTGCAGGCCTGTCCGATGGAGCTGAAGGCGTCCTGCAGCCGGTTGACCAGCGGGATCAAGTCCTCCATGCCCCGGTTTCCCATGATGCCTTTGGTCGAGGGGGACTCAGCCTATGGAGAGCAGAAGGAGGTTGGGGGGGATGTGGTGCTGGTCTGGTCTCAGTTAAGGACTAGTTTGTTGGTGCTTGTTGATGTGGAGACATCTAAGCGCATCACCAGGAGCGGCTGTGAAAACCGAGGAGAGGGGGGGTCAGACAGCAGAGACATGGACAGACAATTGCGCAGTCCCCCCTCCCCCCTCCATATTCCCTGACACACACACAGAGAGCCGCTGCCTGTCAAGGACATTCAGAGCGCGAGGCCTCAGAGAATAAAGACATCAAACAGCCCGGCGCGTGCACAAGCGTCCGCGTGAAGGCAACAGAATGAGGTCACTTTATCGTGGAAGGAGCTGGACTCACCTCAGGAATGCGGGCCGCTGTCCGGTGCTGAAACCACCACGAGTCCGGACGGATGTGGAGGCAGACAGCTCCTGCTGGTGGAGGTCCGAACCTCACTCACAGCCACCGGCCTCACCTGCTGTTCCCCCGCTTCACCACCGTGTCACCCCAGTACAGATTAATCTTTATTTCCTCTCCTCCTCCTCCTCCTCTCTCTGCGCATCTCATCGGTGGAACCAGCGCAGCTACATCTCATCCACCAATCACAGCCAAGCTTCCAGAGCCGATGCTGTGAAACAAGGCCTCCTATTGGCTGAGCACATACAGGTTAGGCCTACCTTAGCCCGCCCTCTGTTTACATCCACACCATCTCTGCCGCGCGTGAGTCATGCGGCACGGCTGCGCATCGCTGCATTCTCCCCCTCCACACGCACACACCCACACACGCACGCACACACACATATGCGTACACACATCTTCCGTGTGTCTCAGTGAGAGCAGAAAGCAGATTATTTCACACATTTCAAACAGGACACAGCAGGGACTGTGGTGGATGATCAGGAACCTTAAGAGTCCAGGAACTAAAAGACTTGGACCACCCTACAGGCTGAGGACCACCGGACCACCGTCCCTGCAGGCTGAGGACCACCGTCCCTGCAGGCTGAGGACCACCATCCCTACAGTCTGAGGACCACCGTCCCTACAGGCTGAGGACCACCGTCCCTACAGGCTGAGGAGGACCACCATCCCTACAGGTTGAGGACCACCGTCCCTACAGGCTGAGGACCACCATCCCTACAGGCTGAGGACCACCGTCCCTACAGGCTGAGGACCACTGGACCACCGTCCCTACAGGCTGAGGACCACCATCCCTAGAGGTTGAGGACCACCGTCCCTACAGGCTGAGCACCACCGTCCCTACAGGCTGAGGAGGACCACCATCCCTACAGGTTGA